GATGGTTAAGCAATATATTTTGTTTGTATAACGGAGATATATATTTTTTTTTTTATCTAGTTGATGAAAACAAAAAACTAATATTCGAAGATAAATTTAAATTTTGTTCTCTTCTTTTGTTGATAAATATACATATTAAATAAGGATAACAATATACGTAACATTAAAAAAAAATTATTTTAAAAAAAAATCAATCTATCTTTCTGGATACTTGAAATTTATACTTGTTCATAAGATGGACAAAGTACAATAGTATTCAATATTAATTAATAGTTTTTTAAAAGTAAACTAAAATACGTAAGAGAAAAATGACATCTTTTAATACTCGGTATTAACTAAACTAGCCCCGGGTAGTTTTGAATCCTAGCTACGCCCCTGGTCCCGGGGAAGTCGAACCCTATGATTGACGATGTTTGATTAATTTCCATAGTTGATAATTTCAATATCTCTTTTGGAATTGCTTGTGTTATTTTGAATAATTTACCATGATGTGTTTAGTCTTGTTTAGTTTGATCACCTAGATTAGGCTTTGCATATCTACATCTGAATTAGACCTTCAATCCGTAATTGTTGTTGTGTTTAATTCCTAAGAGGTAACCGGAAGATGGTAACTACCGGGGATAACACGGCCTATTTAAGTGAACGAACGCGGTTGAGTTCACTATTTAGTCTAGCCTATTTTTCTAATTCGTAATGCGACTGATTGTATTAAATCTAAGAAGCGTCTTCTAGACTGTACAAGAAGTCAGGTTTAATCGCTGAGCGTCTCACGGTTAAGTTAAACTTAAGGAAAAATTCGGGTAACAGACCGTGTCGTTGCCTAGGGCTAGTAATTCCATGAGATAGCGAGATTTGATACGAAAATTGATTAGACGAGTCAATCGAGGGTGTAGGCAGAACCGTGGACTAGAATCTTCCCCATTGCTTGATTAATCATATTTAATTGCTGCATTTAATTTTATTCCATTTTTCATTATTTAGTAGTTAATTAATTCATACAAAATTCCCTCCTTTTATTTGTGCTTTCGTACTTTCAATTAAAGGAAATAATAGTAACTAAATTCTACACTCCCTGTGGGTTCGACCCTTACTCACTACTACTACCAGTTGGTAGAAGTTGTAAGGAAAAATAAATTTTACAATTTGACTGTCTTGCGACGACCGGTCAGTTGCATTCCATCAACATTAGCGTGGGACGCAAATACATATATGTGGGTGCTTGTTAGAGAACAAGTTCACTGAACATGACCGTATGAAAATTCTTAATGAAAGTTTATCATGTCGAATAAGAATTTTCATGTCACAATAGTACATGATTAATCCTTAGACTTGAGGCACGATGGTAACTTTGTGCATATTATATTTTACTTTGATTTATCCTTTTGATTGCTAGCACAATCGTATAAAGGGATATTTTGGGTATTATATTAATATGTATGGAAGTTTGTCAGTGGCCAACAAAGGATTCGACACTTATGAAGATAAGTGAATTTCCTATGTGTTTCATAGTTAGTAATTCAAAGTCCTTGACCAAGGCGGAATGAATAGAGATTCATAAAACGAATTACTAAACTTGAAATGGAATCATAGTTATTAAATCAATTTGGGTTTCCACAAAATCATACCCAAGATTTAATCGGGAAATTGGATGTCGAAAGGATTTTACATGTATGGACTTGTAATCGAAATAAGTTTACTCGCTATTCACTTAATACTAGATTCATGCTACTTGCTAGATGTTCCCATGATATGTGAGTTCTTGAATTAAAGATTTAATTCAAGAATAAGAGTTAATATGACTAACTCAAATTACAAAGAGTTGTAAGCCCACTACTAGTATTAATTGTGAACCTAAAAGGTCACACCAATTTTTGAATGAAGGTAAAATTCAAATAGTAATTCTAAAGAGTTAGAATTAATTGACAAATCTAATTTGATTAGATGTCAATTTATGGAATATATTAAATTAATCAATTGGATTGATTAATTGAATTTTGGATATTAATTTAGTAATTAATGGAATTACTAAATTAATAGTTAGAATTAAATTTTGGATTTTAAAATTCAAATCCAAATAATAATATGATTATTAAATGAGGAGATGGAAGAAAAGATTAAAATAATAAAGTCTTGAAAAATGTTTTCAAGAATTATTATTTTATTATTTATCTTTAATATGATTGGAGATTAAATATTAATAAGAATAAATTAATTATAGTGGTTTAGAGTTGTTAACCAATTCACTTCACATAATTAATTTTATTTTTATTAATAGAATATTAGGTGGGTAATAGTCTTCTTCAAGACTTAATATTTTATGAAAATATTCGTGAAGACTTTTTATATTTTATGAAAATATTCTACCTAATATTATTATTTTATACTAAAATGTTTAGTATAAATATGGACATATTTGATGTTCAATTTAGTTAAGTTTTTAGCTAAGTTTTTCAAGAGTTGAAAAGAGAGAAAAGAAGAAGTGTTCTTCAAAATATAAAACAAGAAAGAGTTCTTGTAAAAATCTCCTCAAAATATATATTCTATATTTATTGAATAAAAACCGAGTAGTTTCTACTAGCGAAGAAATTATTCCGGAACCGGATTTCAAAAGGTGGATACGATTAGAGGGAAAACATTTAGATTCCTAAAGCAAGTAACATCAAGAAGTGGACGTTACCAAACCAGGAATTGATTTCCTAATCCATCGTCAATTTGAAGGAGTTCAAGATAAAAAGTAATATTTGATATTACTTGTAACAAATCAAAATTTGTATTATTACTTGTTTTTTAAAGATAACGATCTGTTAATTCGCTTTGTGTATTTACGGGTTATGTATTTATTTGATAAATACATGTTTTGAAAAATTTTATTCTGCTGCGTTACACCCGTACGGTACTAGCGAACCCAACAGAAGCGTGGTGGTCATATTTTAAAATATTGGATTTTATGCTGGGCTTAATTGATTTATAGTGTTGACTTGGTTCGTTTGACTTTATTATTATTCATGAATTGTCGTACTTTCAAATTTGAGATTATTTCAATTGGATCGCATGATTTTATTATTCGATATTGATTATGTCTTGATGAGTTGAGTTTGATTTGAGTTTGAGGGTTTTGAGAAGTTGTAGAAATTTGTTAGTGCTAAGTTTCAAGTTTAAAGTAGCGACGAAATTTAAATGATTGAGAATCTATCTTTGAAAACATTATTCGAAGTATGAAAACCTTAGGGCTTGCTTGTTTACCAATTAATTTACCCACTTTTATTTCAACTCAAAATTTAACTCAATTTTAACACAACCCCACTATCTTTAATTTACAGTGAATTTTTTTTTAGCCATTTAGATTTGTAAAACACAAATTTTAGCCACATATTTAAAAAAACCTCTTTTTTAGCCATTTTGGCACTTAAAATGTCAAAAGTACCCTTACTACCATTTTTTTTTAAAAAAAATAATCTCTCTCTTCTCTCTTACCCAGAAATCGATTTCTGTTCCCAGAAATTGATTTTTAGCCCCAGAAATCAGATTTCTGGGTCAGAAATTGATTTTTGGGTAAGAAATCGATTTCTATTTCTGGGTAAGAAATGGATTTCTAGGCCCAGAAATTGATTTCTGACCTAGAAATCGGTTTCTTACCTAGAAATAGAAATCGATTTCTTACCCAAAAATTTTTGGGTAAGATATCGATTTCTATTTCTAGGTAAGAAACCGATAATCTGATTTCTGGGTAAGAAATCGATTTCTATTTCCAGGTAAGAAACCGATTTCTGGGTCAGAAATCAGATTTCTGGGTAAGAAATCGATTTCTATTTCTGGGTAAGAAATTGATTTCTAGGTCCGGAAATTGATTTCTGACCCAGAAATCGATTCCTAGTCCAGAAATCATTAAATGTTCCAAGAAATTAATTTTTATTTTTTTGCAATATTCATGTTATTAATTTGATTTCTAGGTCAGATATCGATTTCTAGGTCCAGAAATTGATTTCTGGGTCCAGAAATCGATTTCTGGGACTAGAAACGAGATGATCCAGAAATTGATTTCTATACTCAGAAACGATTTTTGTTCCCAGAAATCGATTTATGTTCCCAGAAATTGGTTTTTAGCCCCCAAAAATCAGATTTCTGTGTCAAAAATCGATTTCTGGATTATGTCATTTCTGGACCCAGAAATCGATTACTAGTTCAGAAATCCCTGAAATGATTTCTGGTCCAGAAATCCCTGAAATCGATTTCTTCGGGACCCAGAAATCGATTTCTAGTCCCAAAAACCTATTTTGAATCCCCAACATGGTTTATTGGATCCCAAAAACAGTAGATACATCCCAAAAACGGTTTTCGAATCGTATAAACCATTTGAGTAATTTCAAAAATCATTTTTGGTTCAAATTTTATTTATTTTATTCATTTGAGTAATATCAAAAATCGATTTTGCTCAAAATTTGTTTGTTTTATTAAAAACATTGATTCTGCTATTCTTAAATAATTATTTGAAATTGTTTGTCCGTAAAATACTTTTGCATCTTTGTTTTACATATGTTTGAAAAAGTTCGAATTGTGCATAGCGGATTTTGGGATGAGAATGTTTATAAAAATGGACAGGCAGAGATTAACTTTATGCGTTTGGGAAGTTTGTCGTATGAAAACTTTTTAAATAATTATCTGGAATTGTGTTTGTAGTATTTCCCAATAAGTATCAAATACCATATGTATTTTATTCGATGCGTTAAATAGAATTGTCATTAAATCGAAAGAACCAATACACAAAGTTCAAGGGTATCATCAAGTTACATCATCATCAAGGGATATTCAAACCCAAAACTAACAACCAAAAGAGGCAAAATCAAAAGAACCAATATACAAAGTTCAAGAGTAATATCGAGTTTACATCATCAACGATGGATATTCAAACCCAAAATCATCAACCAAAAGTGGCAAAAAAATAACAAAATTGGCCACACTACAAAAACATCCTTACTACAAACTAACCCGGTCAATGATGATTAAAAACACCCCATTTGGAATAAATGATCATCTTTACATGTACATGCCCCTGCCAATATGAATTGAAGCCTCATAAAAGTAGAGAAATATCCAACACTTCTGCTCCAGTGCCCCTTCAGATTTCTCTCAATTCCCTCAACTATGAGAGGGAAAACATCGTCTATAGCCTCAGACACCATTTTCACAAATCGCTCGTTGTTCCACACATAGAGAGCCCTCTCAGCAACCTAAAATAGCGAACGAAGGCCAATATAAGTTTCATATTTTTTAACAAGTAATTTAGTCTTTGCATACAAAAGCTAAAAGTTGAATAGGGCGAAGAAACTAAGAACGCACCAAAACTTGTAATTTGCAAACAAGTACCTGCGAGTTCCAACTGTTGGAACACTTGGTTATCTGCCAACACAAAGGCATAGCTAGAATTAAATGCTCTTCATCAGCCAATATCTCAAAATACCCCTAGCTTCCCCAACTCCGAGAGCCGGCTCTTTTTCAACAAACTGGCTGACACAGTAAGCCAACTGCTTGTGATAAGCGTGCATCTCTTTTGGCCTGTGCAGTGGAACCAAAACTCTCATCAAGAAAACCCGGTGCTCCTCCTTCAACGGCACACTAAACCCATTGATTATCGTCCCAAGAATCTCGAGCAAGTCCCCAATCCCATAGTGCTTCCGCTCGGCCTCATAAATGTAATCCAAGAAAATTTCTCCCATTGCATTTCTCATGCACGGTCTCGAAACGTGGAGCCTCGAGTACATTTTGTGGTACGCGGTTTTCAAGACTTGTCGCACCCTTGGATCCTCAGACTCAAACAGGGCAAGCATGTTGTGAATGAAGGATCCATTGATGTACTTGGACAAAGTCTTTTCTTCTAGTTCGGTTAATAGTACAAGAAGAATGTCATAAACTAGGTAGAGATGGGGCCAGGCTGGGGTCGGGCTGTACGTGAGGTCGTCATCTTCGGGGAAGAAGCAGGCGGCAGCCGGGGAGTTTGGTGGGGGGAGGGTTCGGAAGAGATTTTTCCATATCATGCAGAAAAGGGGTGAGAGGATTTGGTCGGGAAGTGGCTTTTTGAGAGATTTTATGATGTAAAGAAGCTTCGTGAGCTTGTCACGCTTTTGGTTTTGGTGGAAAGGAGATTCCAAAGGGTCGGTGAACGTGAAGATGTAATAAGTGCAGTATGAGATTACAGAGAGGATTTCTTGACGTTCGGGATTGCCATTGCAGTTGTGTTTGGAATCGAGGTCGAGGAGGAATTTGAGTGTGGTTGATTTTGGCTTTGGGGAGACCTTTGAGCTGTTTTTGTGAGCACCCATTTTTTTTCCCTGGCTTTGTTTGTCTGCCAATTAGAAGAGGATTTTTTATGTATAAGTTTGCCTCTGAAGAGGTAAGGACAGGAATTACTGATGTTTCATATGTTTTAAAAGTGTTGAAGAATCCAAATTTTCTCTATATTATCTTGGTGGGGTTTGATTTATGTTGATTTTCAGAAGATCAAAGTCTGGCAGGAAAAAAACTAATAAATTTTGAACTAACTGTGCTAATCATTAGAGAATATTCGGGCATGATGATCACAAATTATGGTGTACCCATTAAAGAGGCTGGTGCATGTGCAATATCACCTATCATCATACCTGGAAATTGCTTACAACCAGCAAAGCTAACTTTTTTAAAGAAAACTATGTTCAACTTTTTATTCATTGATCCAAAAAAAAAAAAAAAAAAAAAAAAGTGTTTCAGCTTCAAGACAGAAATCTAACCATGTTCAAATAAATTTAACATTGTTCACTAATTCGGTCAAGTGAAGCTTTTTGCTGAAAACAAAAGCATGGCTCAAGAGTTTTACTAGTAAATAATACTACACATTTGCTTAAGAGAAAGATACAAGTACCCCTGTTTTGCAATCCTAACCAACATCTGAATATATTTCATGCGAATATGATAATTTTTTTGATCTTATGAAATAATTTTCAAGCCGACACAGAAAACACCAGAAATCTAGCAGTACCTCGATGAAAGCCCCAATAAGGACCCAATGCTGGCCAAGGTTCCATTCTCTAACCCAAGATAATCAGCATCGTTGGTTGTTGTTAACATAGCTGCTGAAAATCGTTGTTTCTGTTTCAAAAAACCTATTTTTGAAAACCAGAGGCCAGATCCAAACAAAAAACCCTAACTCGAATAAAAAATTTAAGGTCAAGAACCCTAATTAGAACAAATATATTAAAGGACAAGAACCCTAATTACCTGATTTAAGAGATGAGCAAACAGAGGCACGATCAATTTTTTGCCGGTGAGAAGCTGCGGAGGAACGGCGAGGTCGTGAGGAGCCGACGAGGTGGCCACGGGACGAGGTCGGAGGTCGTGCGGAGCCGGCAAAGTCGTCTGCGGAGATCGGAGGTCGTGCGGAGGTTGAGCCGGCGAGATCGTGCGAAAGTGAGAGATTTTTCTGCTCAATGGGATTTTTCGAGCCGATGAGGAGCTTTTTTTTTCCAAATTTTCTGATGAAAGCAATTTTTTTTTTTTTT